TTTGCCACCGCCCCCGCGTTCTCCCACCGCGCCCCGCAGCCGCAGCTAAGGCGTGAGGTCCCGGGGGACTGCCAGGGAGCGACAGCAGCCTCTACAGCACCCCGGAGCCACAGCATTGCCCCCGGCCCACCGGCTGGCCAACTCCGATATTTTACGCTAGACAAACCCGGGATTAAAAATAAAGCAGCACACGTGGATAACATCCTGTACCAGGAGCTTTTGCATAGCAAGGAGGCGACAACACATTTCAAGCCGCTAAGGATTTATTAGGTACGAAACACAGTCACATCAGATGGTGCAAACCATGTCCCAGAACACTTCTGGGGTTTTATAGCTGAATTCCGGGTAAACCAAGAACATCAACGGCAGCACTAGGGCACAGCACAGCAAAGAGCAGCACACTGGCTTCATTTTGCATGCGACCAGTGAAAGTTAACAACTCAGCCCACAAAAGTATATGTAGTATGAACAGCCTCAGAGCATAATTTTTTCAGATTAAACTTCTTGTTTCAACTTAAACCTCGAATAGCTATAGTGGGTTAATATTAAGAGAAATAATACAAAAAAACCCCCAACTATAAAATTACTTTTTTGGAAGGTAGCTGACAGTTTTGTACTACTGAGAATTTCAAATTAAATTAGAAGCAAGTCAGACAACTGGTCTCTGGTAGACAAGATAATCAGCATTTACCCCCAAAGCTGCAATAATTTGTATTTCACCAGGCAGAAGTTTCTGTCTGAGAAAAATCTGTTGATACTGTAATTAAAAAAAAAAAAAGATTACTTGTACAGGAGTACTGCAGACATGAAGTACATCTTCCTACTATTTACTGGGAATCAGTATTAAACTAAAACCAAAGGTCTTCAACTTTCAAAGCCACAGCTTTTTAAATACTGGAGAATGCAGGTAATCTGCTCTTCCAAAAAAGGAAAATCATTTCTCCATAGCTGTTTACTGAAGAAAGTATCCTGCTTTCCAGCATGACAATCTGTAGAATAAGCAACTCATCTGGTTTTAATGCCGTAAATATTCAATACAATAAAACTTGAGCCCAGCAGCACAAAAATCCTTCTGGATTTGCATTGAGCATCGTTAAGTACAAAATATGGCTAAGTGTTGCATCAACTCGAGAATGACAGTATTGACATTGCTGGGCAGCGAAACAGCAACTTCAAACTACAGTGCTGCTGCAAGGTAGCTTCTGCATGAAGCAAGCAAGCACAGAGCTGGGACAACATCTCAAGTACCGAGACTATGGAGAGCAATTGCTCTGATGTTTCCAGGGGCCCCTGCTACCTTATAGTTTTCTCCTGGTGAAGCTATGTTTCCCCCCGATGAGAGCTGCTAGAAAGAAAAATCACCAAAGTGTTAATTTAAGGCTTTCCAAGAAAAGGATTTGACTCGTCTCCATGCCCGTGAAGCAGAAAAGGAGGGAGGCCCAGACCAGCCAAAGCTCAGCAGCGAGCCAAAGGGACACAGTGAGCCACGACACACTGTCTCTGTGCAAGGCAGCCATGTGAGAAGGGCCCAAGCCCCATGTCTGCTCTGTGTTCTTCTCCCAGGAGGACACCTGCTTTTCCTGGAACATGCCCCAGGAACTTATCTGTTCAATCATCTGGCCTTGGATTTCTTTACCAGGTCTCTTGGTCTGCACACATGTCTCAGCTCTGCTCAAATATCCACCATGTCCACCAGAGCAGATAGGTGGAGCTCGGAGGCAACTTCACCCTCCTTGTTTGCTCTGAGAAGCCGTTGCAAGTGTTTCAGTCTGTCTGACAGCGTGGGGCTTAGCTCCTCCACCAAAAGCTTGCATCTCTCTTGACTCCCAGCCTGGGCAGAAGGAAAAGAGATGAGACTGAGAAAGAAGCATTACCCAGTACCAACAAAGAACTTCTCAAAAGTGGGGGAACAGCCAGTAAGCCGAGAACAACCATGGAGGTCAGCACCTCCCCACCCGAGGAGGTAAGGCAAAAATAGCATGTTCTGCTACTTCTCTCCCCAGCCTTCCTTTAACTGGGGGAAGCTGACCCACAACAGTAGTGATTCCTTAAGTTAAAGGGCAGCACCACAAGGGATACTGTTACAACTGCCAGCAGGAAAAAGCATTAACACCTCTTATTCCAGATTTGCAGAAAGCATTTCCCTCCCTGGAAATAAGTTATTTCCAAGGCGTAATTTTTCAGTTCTTTATTTCCCAACTCTATCGAACACTGCACAGCAAGGTAATTCCCACTAAAGGTTTTGTAACTACAGGAGGTTTGGCACCTGCACTCCTCAGAGCTACAGTTAATTCTCAGTACCACCCTTTCTTACCTCTTGAGCAGATGATGCAGGACTCTTTATCAATGGACAGGTGACAGTTGGGGTGGAGACCAGAGACTGGGGGAGGTAGAGAGGAAGACCTACGAAATCACCAAGGGGCTCAATGTCCTCAACTAGACATTGGTGCAACTGTTCTTCAAACCTGGGCAGAAAGATCAAGAGCACCAGTCAGATTGCAGCCTAGCTTTGCTCTTGTAACCAGTGGGTTAACCAGGAGTTTTGGGTTCAGAGGTGTCTGCAAGAAGGATCTGTTGTTCACAGTCATTTCCAACAAGGTCTGACATACCCCACTGCTATGACGAAAATCCATCATAGAAGCTTGTGGTACAGAAAGGAGCCACACAGACTGAAGACACCCAACTGATTGGGAAGGCAGCTCTGCTGGTTTGGGCTGGGATAGAGATAATTTTCTTCATAGAAGCTAGTATGAGGCTATGTTTTGGATTTGTGCTGAAAACAGTGTTGATAATACAGGGATGTTTTAGTTGTTGTTAAGTAGCGTTTACACTAGTCAAGGACTTCTCAGCTTCCCATGCTCTGCCAGGCGCACAAGAAGCTGGGAGGGAGCATATCCAGGACAGCTAACCCAAACTGGCCAACGGGGTACTCCATACCATATGACGTCATGCTCAGTATATAAGCTGGGGGAAGAAGAAGGAAGGGGTGGAATGTTTGGATTGATGGCATTTGTTTTCCTAAGTAACGGTTACGCATGATGGAGCCCTGCTTTCCTGGAGAAGGCAGAACCCTTGCCTGCCAATGGGAAGTAGTGAATTAATTCCTAGTTTTGCTTTGCTTGCGTGCATGGCTTTTGCTTTACCTATTAAACTGTCTTTATCTCAACCTATGAGTTTTCTCATTTTTACTCTTCCAATTCTCTCCCCCATCCCACTACGGGGGAGTGAGCGAGCAGCTGCGTGGTGCTTAGTTGCCACCTGGGGTTAAACCACAACAGCAGCAAAGACAAGAAACCCTTGGGCCCACCTCAAAAGCTTTAGTTCTTCAGCTTTGTGATCTGCATTGTTAACAGGCACCAAACTGACATCCTGAAGTGGACTTTATAGACATTTGTCATACTGCAGGACACACAGACTACTGTACGCACTGTACTGCTTTAGTTTTGGTGGCTTGATTGACCACAGACAGTTTCCAACCATCCCTCAAAGCTCCAAGTATTTCTACCATCCTGGACTGTTCCTGTGATGCAAGGAGGAGCTAGCAGGGAACCACACTGCACTGATGTGCTTGATGAAATCAGATGAAACTGGAGATAGCCTAGGCTGTTTTCTAGCACTGTTGGACTTCAGTTTCCCATTACATACAAGTTAGAAATTATTTACAGCCCCGGGCCAGAGTTACAAGGAAAGGATGCTGCTCTGGGAACTTACCTCCTGCTTTCTATTTTCTCCAGTTGCAACTGTGCCAACAAACGCTCTGGGAGAAGCTCCAGGCCCGAGGCTGTGTCTGTGAATTCATCTGCACTGGGAATGCTCTTTTCTTGACCTGACAGTATGCTCATGCCAGAACCATATTGACCTGGCATCATGGAAATGCTATAGGGTTTCTTAAAAGAGTTGGGAGATTTTATCCTTGACCTGGTGGGGGGAAGGGGGGGGGGGAACAAAACAAAACACAAACAAACAAAAGCACAGAAATTGGTATAAGCGTGTTAATTTTTCCCTACTGGCTTGAAGTTTGGCAATAACAGGGAGTAAGAATTGATCATTTGGAGACATAATTCCCTTGTACCAGGATCCAACATACCACCAACTGTGTGTGGGATTTGAGAGGAACTAATCTGACAGGGGGCTGAGATTCACCCCAAAGAAAGGTATCTACCCAACATCTCCTGCTACACAGCAGAGCAGCAGCTAAGCTTCCATGAGGGAAAAGAGATTGGCTTCACTCTGAGCAAGGCTAGGGAACTGAGCTAGACTCTTGAGATCTCAAATACTTTAATGCCACACAGCTCTAAGGCACCCTCCCCCCTCAACCTCTAGCATTTTCTCTGAGCAGTGGGACCTTCCTGATGTCTTCCCACAAGCTGGGGACAAAGCCTCCTTTTGAACTCAAAATACTGCAAAATTAACGTGTGATTACCAAAGACTAAATCTGCAAATCATCTAACAGGTAATTCATCTGTCAGGTCGAGGCTGCAACTGAAGGTAAATGTAAGGGAAGGGGCACTACTAAATAAAGGGCACGCTCATGATTTATCCCTATGCTCTTCCCCAACCTCACACTGTTTTTCCTCCATGCTTTGTGTATCTAGAGTACAAGGCTAATTCCAAAGCCTCACCAGTGTTTTCTTTAGCAGAAGTTAATTTCTCCATTTATAACGTTTTAAGCACCCCCCAAGCAATCCATTTCTTTGAGAGCCGAGTAACCCTGCAGAAATAAAATCTACTTACCACCCAGTTTCAACACACTCTTGTACATCATTTCAAGGAGATGTACAGAAGCATTCTGGGAGGATGCCGTATGCTGGTTTTCAGCATCTTGACGGCACTATATGTTCATCATATAGAGGCCCTGAGGAACCTCCTTGGAGTTTACTGAGCAACTGCGATGGCACAATGGACAGCTGAATGCTACTCCCACAGGTAGTGCCAGCAGCTGCCTCACCTCTCGTGGCTTTGCCGGATCTCCTCCTGCGTGCGCAGTCTGGCTTGTTCCCACGAAAAAGGGAGAGTGAAGTTCTTTAAATGATCCTTGAAGAAGTACACACGAATCTGACCATCTTCACTTACTGCTTCTGTGAATAAACCCAAACCCAATGTTTAATATTAGAACAGATTTTCCCCTTCAGAAGAAAAGCTGAGTATTGAAAAGCCAATTTGAAGAAAAATTGCATGTTCATTTTCAAGTAGCTTTAAGTTGTAATCTGCATGTAAAAAGGAGCCTTCTTGAACTGATTTACTGTTCAACAGATACCAGATTACTGGGAAAGACTGTAAAATGCTGCTTTATCTTAATTTTAAAAATTCTAGTGCATCCAAGTTCAGTGTTCAGTGGGTTAAATAATCATTTCATTAAAAGAGGCTCCCTATAGTTACGCCAAACAGGGCACCAAAAAAACCCCACACACTTGAAATTGAAAGCAAACAGAATCTGAGACAAGCTTCATTAATCCATGGAAGTGCTCATTAACAGTGGCAGCCTGCCATCCCAGCTGACTTGAGCTTACATGACTTCTGAAGCACAATTCTTGGCCTTTGGTTGAATGTAAACCCTCTCCTACTGGGAGAGAAGGGCTGAAAGACTGACCATATTCCTCCACACAGAGACAAAATTTTTAATCACAGCTGAAGTCAAGTCATAATCAACTCTAAAGACACACTCCAAAGAGCAGAAAGATGTGCAGTAAGCACAGTGTCGTTCTACAGCAGATCAAGACCATAGCTCCCTCCCTGCTACATATCACTCACTGCCACACATAAAGGCACCACTATCAAGTTATTAAACACAGTTATGCAAGAAGTATCATCCATGTTGTAGAAGGACATGCGATACCTGGAGCAATAGGCAGTTTGGGTGGTTTCCAGTCTCTCAGTTTATGATCAATGCAGACTGCCAAGATATCATCCCAAGGGATCTCATCAACAGAAGGTCCATCTTCCTCAGAGTTCCCAGATGTTCTGTTTTTCCACTTCTCGTAAGTTTTGCTCAGCAGATTCTCCACTTGAGATTGGATCAGTGGTTGAGTATGGGAAGAACTAGCAATCTGAGACACATACTGAAAAATCATGCAGCAAACAGGATGCCAAGGAGCTATGGAAAAAACAAAGTAAATTGCAAGAATTTATGACAGAGCCAAACTACCCACCTTACAGGCTGATAGTTCAACACAGCACAGGCACATCAGAGAGAATGATGTGCCACCAGCAGGATACCGCAGCACGAAGTACATACCACCTAATGGAGGCAGATCTAGGTATGGGATCTGGAAGGACAGCACAGCCTTCTTCAGCCAGGCCAGGTGATCAGGCATGTTCCACTGCAGGTGGGGCAACAGCTTGTTACCCCCAGGCTCTGAAAACTCAGTAACAGGCCATGACAAGTCACAAAGGTGCTCTGAGGATGCCACATCCGAAAGAAACTGCAGCACGCTGTTGTACAGCTCTATGATGAGCCCAGGCTCCTGAGATGGCAGGCCAGCTAAACGCCTCTCCTTCCAGTCATGGTAGAAGCGCTTGCCAAATTCTCCATCAATCCCATCCTCAACATACTCCCGAAGGGTCTGACTGCAGAGCTCAAGGGAGTCAGGGCATTGGGAAACCAGCCAGCCCACAGCCGCACAGATCTATGACACACGAAACAACCGGCGGTTGGAAACTGGTCTGCAGTAATCAGGACACAAAGGATTCGATCCTGCAACCTTAAGTTTGACGTAATAGTATGCAAGGTACTATGCAGCAAAATACAAACAAATCAACCAGCATCATCCCTGTATTTGCAACAGTGATTCTCCAACTAGGTGGTCACAAACTAAATTCACATGCAGCAGGCTCAGGAACAGACAGAAAGAGGCTGTTCACACCAGGTGCAGTTGTGCTGGGGAATTCCCTGCTGCAGGATGCTGGGGATGCCTAAAACTTATCTGGGAGAAATTGGACAGATTCACAGGAATTAGCCCAGGGTGACTATACCCAGAGAAGCCATGTCTGATCCTGGCAGTCCTTGAATTGCAAAGAGATGCAAGCTGTAAGGGTTTGTGGGGGAGCATCACTCTGGGCTTGTCTTGTTCTCACCTTCTTTCTTAGGCACCTTCTTCAGACACCATGAGAAGGGAACACGGGGCTGGAGCTGCTTTTAGTCTGAGACAGCTTGGCCATTACCCTCTCCCACCTCTCCAATCCACCCTGCTATGACTCACACACAAAAAACTATTTTACACTTGTAAGTATCATTTTCCATCATGGGTTTTTGATTAGTCTCCAGGCTACTATTGCCAAGCAAACTGAAGGACAAGGGGAGAAGCTGGTGTCTGGAGGCTGTCAGGGAGAGATCCATACAATCCTTCTTTGCATATGTTAGAGGATAGAGGCATCCCTCAGTCCCATCCACCAAGATGGAATAATACTGGGTGATCGCACAGCAGCCAGAAGAGCTACAAAGGGTCCTTTGCATTTTAGGACTGGGAGCTTAAGGGTACAAAGGCTCACCCACCACTAGCACTCGTCTGTAGGCAGCAACGGTACCTCTGCTAGTCAACAGAGGTGGGACAGGCAAGAATGGATTTACATAATCCACATATTTTGGTCTCAGTGCAGTTTTCAGTATTACACAGAAGAAACTACCTTTTATGTAGCAAATGCCACTGATCTCTAGTCAGTTAAAATAGACAGTCACGAATAATGGAAAAGTAGCAGAAATATTTCATTTCAGAATAGTTCTGGCTGATGTTGGAATCACTATTAACAAGCGAGTGCCCGACTTCAGCAAATTCAGGTGTATGAAAAAAGTGGTAAGAGAGCTTTTTGAACAAAAATGTTACAGAAACTTCAACAAAAAAAAATAACCCACTACACAAGACTCAGCTGCAATTTAAGCTACTGAGAACATAATAATTCCTTATAAGGCATTAGTAATTGAGAGGTTAATGATAAACCAGCCAAGTATCTCTTCATGTGAGTTGCTATTCTTACCCTTCTGGTGCCTTGTACGTCATTGATAGAACCTGGGAGCTCAACAATGGTGTAGTCTGAAATAAGCTGGGCTGAAATCAAGTCCTGCAGCATCAAACCTTAAAAATAAGAAAACCCGCCATATACTCAGAGACGGAACAAATGGGTATCTCCTACCCTGACCTAGACTCACACTCTGCATACATTCACAGCATCACTTCTCCATCCTTCCCTGCAGACTCTCAGGATCAAATACTGTGTGCAAAGGAAAACTGGAAGCCAAAAGAAAGTTCACTTCTTTCCATATTGATCAGTTCTTAAGGCCTCTGGATTTCTAGCAAAGCTTTGAAAAAGTATTGTACTTCAGTCTCTCCCTTTACTAGATGCTGTATTTGAGAGACTGTGCTAGTCACAACAGTTCTACTTGGGGCAGCCCTAAACTTTCACATTGTTTTTTCAAGGCCCCAAAATAATTACGTACCTTCTTCTACTTCTTTCTCTGTGGCCTCCTCTTCCTGACGGGGGACTAGAACCACCAGGGGAACTATCGGGTGGAAAGGTTTGGCCTGAAGCAACTGTTTCAACTGCAGCAAAGCTGAAAGCCAATAAACATCATCTTCTGCAACATCTTCACTCCTAACTCGAGGGGGCAGGAGAAGAATGAGACCACTGGTTCCAAGCAAGTCTTTTTGCATCTCAGCTGTATCAAGCTCAGAGTTGGACAGCGCACCATGTGCCACCTATACAAGTTACAAAGATGACAACAGTAATGTAGCTAAAGCTAAATGAAGCTATTTTCATATTGAAATCTGCAGTTTACTATCATTAGCATTCAGCTTTGTCATTCATTACCAGGAGCTCTACAAATCCTAAGACAACAAGTTATAAGACAGACAAACATGGATGTGTCCAATAGATGCAGGTGAGCACAAAAATGCACTTCAGCACTTGATTTGGCATCAGGAATTGAGATGATTGAGGTTTTAAGTATTGCACTGTCTTTAGGCAGGTATTTACTCAGTTGACTGGAAACAAGGACAAAATCCATTTTTTTTTTAGGCTTTTTCAGCAACCCCGTCCCTCCCAGTATCATCTCCTTCCGACTGACAGGACACAGTGTGAAAAGCTTCTGCACAACATCCACTGGAAAAGAGCACACCCTGCTCTTATGGCCTGTTAGGTATCACAAAATTGTTCTCACCTACCTTTACACACACACTGACTTTAATGCTTCTGCTCCCTTGCAAGCCAGGAGAATTAAATAACGTCAGTGTTTGAATTCTGCCTTCTGTAGTGTGTGAAGCATTTTTCTTCCAGCTTTTGTCTCCCATAAATTTGGCTTTCAACCAATCCACCAGTACCCTAGCAAACAATAAAGAGTGGGCTTTGGGGGTTTTTGTTTTAAAAAAATGGGCATTTTAAGGTTTTAGCACCAACGCTTCTAAGACACCACACTCCATCATAACCCCCAACCTTCATATTGCTTGGATTTTGCTAAATAGCTATTAAATGTCCTGACATTCTCCACACTGCTACATATCTCAAGGTTTTCTGTTTTCAGCATGAGCAAAAGGAATTCAATGAACAATGTCAGGAGAAGATAAGACTACTGCAGTAATTCTTTAGAGTGCTCTGGAGAAAAAAAACAAATTGGAAATTTGACATGGTACGGGAAAACATGCATCAAGGACTGTATACTACTACTCTTCTTCTATTTGACTGCCCTGCATGAGAAAGGGACCCAGCAATCAACTCTTTTACTTACCTGTTGGGATCATCCTCCGCATATTCATCATCATTTGGCAAAACCAACAGCACCTTCCAAAAAACCTGTTCTTGTTGAACTGGAATATGTTCAGTGATTAATGAGACAAGATCCAGGGGAGTCCAAGCTAAATCACTTAAAGAGAGACAGAAGCTGGTGAAAAGACCCCCTAGTGATCATTCCCACCTGGGGAGTGCTTTTTCTTGCTTTGAACAAGTTACAATACTGTAAGTAACTACCGTCCAGTTCAAACAGTCCAAAATTAGAGCTAATTCTTTAGATCTGTTGCCCATCTATTTCACCACAGACCAGATGCCTTCAAGAATTGCAGCTGCTAAATCTGTTACGTGAGCCTTACTTTGGGGATTGTGGAATCATGTCTAGTGCTTCACTTCCAACACTGCTTCAATACCCTGCTCCAATAAACACACAGTCCACTAGAGTGCATGACAAGCCATGAGAAGGCAGACCTCCTGCTGCACTTTAAACATCTAGATCAATCCCTTTGTGCCACAAGCCAGGCCGGTAACAGCTCATTTACTCCTCTCCCCCTATACCCTATCCCAGGCCCCATCCCACCCAGGTACAAAAAAACCCGTAATATCCATCAGACCCTTAAAGTTACATACACAGCAATAGGATTAAATGGCCTAACACTTTCATGAATTTATATTCCAGCTTCCCTTATCTCAAAAATACTCCCAGAAGGAAGGCTGCAAGTAGACACTTGAGTATGATTTGCCATTTCTTACTGACATTTTTGAGATCTCTGGCATTTCTGTCACAGTTTGCTTAGAAAGAAAACAAGGATCAAACATCAACGTACCTTAACAATTGCTGGTAGAAGTGCTGAACTTTAATTTCATGCACTGTCTTGTTTCTCAGCCAATTCAATCTGGAAACAAAAGATTCTTGGTTGTAATTTTTGGTATAAAACAGGTACTTCAACCAAATTTAAGAAACACTCACTAAGACCTGAGAAGTACTGCAGACACTTTAGAAAGCTGCCATTAATAGAAGAAGGGTTTCTTTAGGTTTGCAGTCTTTGTCATGGCATTTGTGCAGAAAGGGTCTTTTTGGGGGTATTAGAGAACAAACAGTTTTGCAAAACCATTAACGTTCACAATGAAGATTCGAAGAGGGCTACTTTGTAACTTACCTTCCAAAAAAATCAAACAGATTGCCCACTGCTGTTACTGTAAGTATCCTTACCTCGTGCAAGAGACCCCCAGCTTTCCTCCGTTCCCCAGGTTTACAATTCTCTTGCACAAGTTCTCCATGGTTATAGGCCACTCAGCACTGGGGGACAGTGCTTTCAGTTTATTTTTTGGATCTGCACAAGAGGGAGCAGCTGGAAACGCCCTCATTTGACGTTTCAACTTTGTTCGAGCTGCCACTGCCTCCCTCCACCTTTGGAAGAGAACAGATAAATAGGTCACATTAATAAACTCTTCTGCAGACTAAACAGGTTTTCTCATCTTTGCTCTTCAGACTGGACTGGCCTCTCAAATACCCCACAAGTCACAGTCTGCCCAGAGGCAAGTGTGAGGTGGTGCATGTGCGTGGTGCAGCAGGCTCAGGCTGTATTTCTGCATACAGCCACGAAGTCAGAGCTTAAACAGAGTGTGCACAGGATAAGACCTGCCAGCTGTACACATGCAGTGTCCAAAAGGGGCAGACTTGTGCCCTATTCAAAAAACCAATGCAGACAAAAGGGAGCAGCCTTCTGCTTAGCAAGCTGCACTTGCTCTCAGTGGCCAGAGATCACAGAAGGGAAGCAGGATTCCCACTCTTCTATCTCATCCCTTCCACAGCAGTCCTAGCTGTGCTCCCCAGGCAAAAGTTCAAGCAGTTTTCCTTCCCTGTTTTCAGCATGTTTACTCCTAGCACATACAGCGTTTTACAATGATCCGTTATAAAGCTTCTCTGATATCTCAAGCACTTGCTGAAAATGCTTTTGCAACATCTACTGCAGTAAGAAAGGTATGCCTCTTTTTTTCTTGTTCATTTTTCAAGAAACATTTAAAAAGGCAAATTCACCAACAAGGAGAGAACATATAATAAATCATTAGATGCTAGTCTATTTTTCTATGACCAAATGATTCAAAACATGTACCACTCAACAGTTTTATAACACAAAAATTTATTAATTGAAATCTTTTCTTGTGTTTCCCTCAGGCATTTTCAGGGCTTATAAAAAACATTCCTGCATCATCCAGTTTTCTTGAGTGCTGCATGTACATTTGTTTCATGTATCTTTAGGCTCCTCCTTAACCTTCTCTATCGCACCGAAGGCGATTTACACATGCCCTGAAGAGACACATGAACTCAGTTTTAGGACAGAAAGAACTCTGCAAGGGAAGGTGCTCCACAGTAAAGAGACTAGCCTGCTGCTTCCTCTTTAGCAGTGAGAAATACCACCTGAAACGCACCTCAACCTGACTGCACTGGGGCAGCACAGCACAGAGAGAAATGAATCTCTGCCTTGGAATAGCCACTGAATACTTAGCACACATCCAGAAAAAGAAGCATCTAACAGAAAGAATACAAGGAGAAGTTATTACAAGTTTCTAGATAGAATGAAGCTCAAATCTCCTACCAAGTTCATCACCTGACTGATGAGGTGTGCTCCCCTCCCTACATATATCTGAGTAACTTCTTAGAGGCTGGTAATAAGACTGTAAGTCTACCCTTATAGTGGAGACAAGATAAAAGCAAAGAGAACACAACCAGACAGCTGTACTTCAAACTCTATTAACCACTCCATGCCAACGCTCCCAAGAAAAGCAGTTGTGTCACAGGATGGCAACTCACCGTTGCAAGTACTTGCAGAAACACTGGAGCTCCTGAAGTGTTTCCTTAGCAATCTGGAAAATCTCATCCTCCAGAAAGAGGTCCATGATGTGACCACAGACTTCTTCTGAACAGCGGGCAATACGGGCTTCCCGGTCTCTTTCTAAGGCACATCTAGTTCAAAATGAAACAAACCAAGACCTCTAGTGAGGTGGAGACTGCAGCAAATGACAATATTGAGCTGCAAACAGGAAAGACCATCACATTCAGCAAAGGGGACAGATTTTCCACACTTCTACTCTATGGTCCTTCTAAATAAGACCTGTAATCAATCAGAAATCAATCAAGTTTGTTTTAGTGATCATGGGCTTCCAAAGAAGGGTCTACAAGAGAGCCCACAGCTGAGCCATAAGGCAGTCAGAAGAAAAATAAGCACACAGAGCAGCCTTGTCCTAGACAAAGCCTCCACCCTGGAGGACCGCTACTGCATGATACAGTGCGACTGCAAACTGGCAGCCCACTGTACAATCAAGTACACTTCCCCTCTCTTTAAGTAGCTTATTGAAGATGAACTCAGAGAAGGCCAAGCAAGAAGCCCACCACTCTGTAACAAATTCTAACCCTTAGGAAAGTGTCCTACAGCAACATATAGCATAGAGTATGTTGTACGTACTTTAACTCATTGGCTGAAGCTTCTTGAACGCTCTCCTTTATTACTTCTTCCATTAACTCCATACCCACCAACTGGCTCAACTGCTTTATCAACTGTTCTCTTTCCTGCTTTTGTCTGGAAGGACAGAGAAAAGGTTTATGGAAGTGGCAAGACAAGAGTGGCAAGATTTACACAACTGAGAAGATTTACACTGGCAAACCTGCCCCTTAGTTACACAGCGCTACACGCAGCGTGAGACAGTTTTTGGCTAAAATTGAGTTCCCACTAGCTGGTTTCTTTCTCTAAAGATAAACAGCTTTACATGGAGCCAGGTTTCCTTCAAAAATACAGATGACAATGGGGTTATTTTATTCTTACCCCAGTAAGCTACAGACAAGTAGCTCACTCATTAGGAAAAGTTCCTGCATACAGCAGGGCCAGGATGCATCTCCCTCTCTGGAAGCTCAGGGTGAATAAAAGTTCCCAAAATTCCCACCCACAATTTTCATAGTGGCTCTGTGAGGTCACCAAAATACTAACGAGCAGATCACCTGAGAACACGGAAGGGACAGCCTGTCCTGCACAATCCCAGGGCAGTTCAAGGTGAGACAAACTGAGTGCTGTTGGCATGGCAGAAAGACACAAGGACTGAGCACACATGCACTCACCTCTCTTCCTCCACTCTGCGCCTTTCCTCTTTGACACGCTCCCTTTCTGCGCTCAGCACACTTCCAGCCACTTGTCTGAGGATCTCCCCCATCACTTCAGTCACGAGTTCCTCCACGGTGGCCTCCGAGGTGCTGTGCAGAAACAGCAATTCTCTTTTCAAAGCCAGAAATTTTTCATTCAAAGCCCTATGTCTGTGCTTTTCTCAAGCATACTCTTGCTCCGTTGTGGTGGGCTGACTCCAGTCACCAGCCAAGCACCCACACTGCTACTGGCTCACTCCTGCCTCGGGACAGGGGAGAAAATAGGAAGAACAAAAGCAAGAAAACTCATGGATGGAGATAAAGAGACGGTAATAGGTGAAGGGAAAATAACCCACACTCCCACCAAGCAAAGCAAAGGCAGTCAGCCACCACCTCCCACAGGCAGACCAATGCCCAGACAGTCTCCAATCAATGGCCACCCTGGAAGCCAGAAAACCCCACCTTCTTCCTCTAACCCAGTTTTATTGCTGACCATGATATCACATGGTATGGACTTTGGTGAGTCTGGGTCAGCTGTCCCGGCCGTGTTCCCTCCCAGCCTCTGGCACACCCCCAGCCTACTCACAGGGGTGCAGAGTGGGAAACAAGGAAGGCTGTGACCCTGTGCTGTTCAGCAATAACCAAAACGTTGGTGTATTAATAACACTGTTTTTGACACAAGCCCACATCTACTCCACCAACTGACTTGGAGAGGAAGTGTTATTTGAAGAAGAGAAGCAGCCAGATCTGGACTTACTCCTCTTGTCCCCCTTCAGGCACCTTCCCTTCCACAACACACGTTTCTTGTGGCAGTGGTGTGAGTGTCATGCAAGGCAAGATTTATAGAGGTTCGCAGTTAGCCTTCCATTAGGCTAGCCGGTGTGCAACAGAGAGGTAGCAGACATCTGAAGAAAGGTCTGCTTTTCCCTCAACTGTATCAGTAAGACTATCTCCACTACAGACCTTGCCTTGCTTAGTTTTATGATCTTCACAAATGGTGCTGCTATGGCAAATTGCAGCTTTGATGACAGACTCCAGGAATCCAGCAATAAAGGCTCTTTACCAGATGGCAGCAGTCACGTAAGCCACTGCTGCTCTGCCGACTTCTCTGCACTCCCCTTTGATGACTTCGTGCACAAGACCATCCGCCACTTCGGCAATGTCCTACAACACAGCAGAGGAAGCAGCTGAAGCAAGATGCAGTCCTGCTCAGGATGGCCTGGGCACACACGTGAATTGGGAGCGAGGCTTTTCAGCCTTGTCTAACTGACTGTAATGGGCAGTGAGGCTTTTCAGCCTTGTTTAACTGACTAATTGGCAACATTACCTGCATTTCTACATACAAACTAAGCTAACTTAATCAATCGCAACAGCCTGGAAACTTTAGACTATCTGAAAGGTTAATAACAGCCCCAAAACAAAAGCAGCTTTCTGTATTAAATATGGGCAAGTCAAGTTAGGAAATAATAGCTAAGAAAAATGAATTTTCAGAGGGATTCCTATTTTCTTACTTGAGAGTTTCTCTCATTCTAGCTGATTTAATTCCAAATGACCATGTCTAATCCTCACTGAAGTGTAGCCAATTTAGGTAGAATATGGCAGCTGTACTTTACAAAGCAATGAGACACTTTGAGATGGGTTCAGCATTAGTACATATCTAAACGTGTGGGAGGGAGAAAAAGGGGAACAGCACAGATACACAGGGTACGCATTCAAGACCCAACATTAGTAGTCATATATCCACAAGAAGAAAAACTTTGTCATGTCTCATTTGAAATAAGTGCCATTAAGAAACAGCTCAATATTATTCACTAAAGCAAAGTTTACCTACTAAGTCAAAGATAATCACTTTCTACTATTGCTTTCTGACTCTCTCCTTAAAGGTTTCTCAAATAAATGCTAAACAGACAGAACTGTTTATCGTATGAAGGAGTTGGAGCAAGCACTAACATTTCAGGCTTGCATCTGAAATCACTCAAGACTTTCTCTTTTCAGAATACTCCAAGGAAACAACTTCTCAAAGTATCCAAAGCACCGAAGCGGGGAGCGTCTCCTTTTGACTCTACATAACACATGCAGATTCTGAAAAACTAAAACAACCTAAGAACTCAGTCACTTTTTGTTGTATGTCACAGATCCTTCCCAAATACTTCGTTATGGGTTTAAGTTTCCTTACTGTGTCTGTGTAGACAGGCTGAGGCTTTGAAGAGAGAGGCTCAGGTTGTCCAGCAGGTTGGGAGATCGCCTGCGCAGGAGTCAGCACTGGCACAAGCTGACGAGGTAACAGTGAGGGCAGAAGATGAGCTGGGGGCTGGACTCTTACTGCTGTGGCATCTAAATCCACACCTTTGCTTTCCACTCTTCCTTCTTGGGAGGCGGGGGGGAAGAGAAAAATTAAGGAAACCAGGTCAGTCACAAATAGAAGCAAAACTATTTTTATCTTCAAAAGCTGGCTTGTCTGATAAATTTCATCAGGTCATAAAAGAAGTCCATAACAGAAGCTTGCTGCCTTAAAGTTAAAAATATAATTATATCAGGGAAGCTAATTTATATTTATGAGTATTTTATACAAAACATTCAAAAATTTCATTGCACTTTACCTCCAATACCAAGTACATACATTTCCAATAAAACAACTGTTTTAAGTCAAGAACACCTAGCACCTACACCTCTTGAATAAATGCAAAATATCTGTACTTTCAACAAGGACAAAAAAAAGCATACGTTCAGCTAACTTGAAAAAACAACATGATTATACACACAGTGGGAACAAACAGTTGCAATACAAAATCTGAAAACTGAAAAGGGAAGTTGGCTGTCTGAAGTAGCCAAATATCTAGTTATTTCACCTATGTTAGCAAAATTGCGCCCTCATTACCGTTAGTGTGTTTCCTGTATTGGGAAATACATTTTATTAATCAGGTTGCTTCTTAGCTTCTACAGATACATAAGTACATATAAATCAAAACATGCTTTCATTACATCCAGATTTCCATGCAATTTCAACCCATATGAGCCAAGAACAGTTTCTGCTTTGTAAAATAAAACTCACATGGCTGACCCAGCAGTATGTTCAAGAGTTGTAGCTAAAATGCACATTTGCTCTTACCTGTTGCTTCCACGCTGGATTTTTGGCTACTGCTAGCTTGATCCACAGAGGTGCTTCCGCCAGTATACTTGTTCTGTCCATCGAAGCTGGACACAGGCACGTGGTGAGGCACTGAGGGCAACAGCCCACCATTTACAATTTCCCCAACCGAGACAGTTAGCTTCTGGCTGACAAACATCGATTTACGTGGTTTGGGTAATCCGTCTGGCTCCAAGAAAGCTGAGCGATTCAGCTCTACATAAGCACTGGGGAAAAATAAAAAACAGGAGTACATCCTCAAAGCTCCAGTAACCTATAGGTTTTCAGTTGGACAGCTTAGCAGGGCAAAGCGAGACAGGTACTGGGCACTCAGGATTGCTCCCTGTAGCCCGGATCTCGATCTTTGCCTGGAACCAGAGTAGGGAGAGCAGAGAGCACTGTCCTCACAGCTATCCTCCCAGGACAGAGTACAAGCTGCACTAACATTTCTGGGCACCCTCATGGACTATTTTATCTCTTCTTTTAACCTTTATCCACTGTGTGTATTCTCCATGTACATTTTACCTAGACTACATCCCACAGGATAGACGCCAAGACTATCTACAAAAGTAATTTTAAAAGCTTCAACCTTCCTCCAATCTTGGCACCTGTAGTCTGGCTAATTTATTATATCAAACAGAATGTTAGCAGGAAATAGATCACTAACTGGCATGCTCAAGTTTTTTTGCCTTCACCAGTCTCTGGAGATTGCAAGTCTGTATGAGCACACCTTACAATATATGTATTTCCATGGCAGACACACTTATCTGCAAACCGTTGGCCTCCAACATCCTCTAAAAACTGGTTTGCACTGCTCAGCTTCATCCCACCCTACATGCATCACCATAATGCCAGTTTCCTGAGAAGCAGACCTGTATCCTCATTTCCTACAGAGCTGCAATTTACTACAATTCAACTGCAAGATAAAAAACTAAAACAATTTTTTTCTACTGGGTTATCCACAACGTCTCTTTCTAGGGAAGAAGTCCCTGGAGTCCAATGGAGACAGAGCTCAATATACAGTCTCTCCTTTGGGGGAAATGTTTCTCTCGTTTTTCACCACCTTCCAGAAGGCTGAAGGAATTTTGTATCCTTGAAATCCCTTGTCACCTTATCAAACCAAGTAAAAAAAGATGTGCAAGTGAAAAAAAAAAGCTATTGTGGGAAGTCACCATAGTTACAGGGATACAGACCCCATTTCTTCAGGGAAAGATTATAAAATTAAAGAACTTTTCATAAGTACAGCAATAAAAATAGGCCAGATTATTAAAATTTGCACCCAACACTATCCTAGTGCTTTGCTTACAGAGCCCAGCCCCCACCCTTCACATGTTCTTTTCTTTTTCTGGTTGCAAACTGCAGGAGCAGCCCATCCACATTAACGCTTCACCTAACATCGCCCTAACCCCACTAGGCATCTTAAGGCACAGACACCCTTTTCCTTACACTTACCCATCAGATACACTCAGGCCATAATAACTTATAAAATCGGTTGCTTCCTCACAATCTTTGAACAGTAGCATGCGGACCAGGAGATCCAAGGGAAACACTGTACATCTTTGGGTGCTCACAGTATAGGCAATATTGAGAGATTTGAGAGCATCTTTACGAATCTGGGGGAAGATAAAAGGAAGAGCCACATAACTACTAAGTTAAAGACCCCAAAATGTACTATAAAGTGTCCTATAAACATGAAAATCATGTTTAAAAGAAATCAGTACTTTGTCATCAAATATCCACACAAACTACTATTCAGATTTAACTTTCTTTTTAAATTCTATGCACTTGCTTTCTAGTTTCTGCTCCTCTTCGATGCTGCTCATTTTGAGCATATCCCTTTGTGATTCCTGTGCAGAAGAAAAGGCTTGCAAGGGCTTCTGAAAGTGCAGGTTGATATTTCCTTTGCAAAAGTCTCAGGCCTGCTTCTCTGCTTCCCAATTATTTTCAGGGGAAATAATATGTATTTGTACACAGTTATGGGAAAAAAATGCTGAGAAGAGCATTTTAGTATTTGCCTTTTATATCACGACAGAAAACTCTTGAAAAATTTTTAAATGCTTTTTTAAAAGAAGCAAGAATAAGATTATTTTTAAGGCTAAATATCTACCAAGCTTTCTGCTAAGATTTCCTCCCAAAAGTCCCAGACTGTTTTACTGATTAACACTTCAAAAAATATCCATCTGCCTTTTTCTCACCTGGTTGAAATAATAATGTAAGAGACAGGCATTCAGATAGGAAGCTGCTTGCACTAACTTGAAAAACCTCACAAAGTTGTTGCTGTTTAATGCAGCAAAAGCTTGAACTGCAAATCTAACTTCAGGAGAGTTTCTAACCTCTGGATGGAACTGCTGTACTTCTCTGTGGAGACAAAAGACAGAGACAAACCTTTTGCTTCAATATTAACAATCACAATTCAGTAGCAACCTGTAACAAAATGGAATTAAAATTAGGAGCTTTGAGCAAGACATGCAACTTCTGTCCAAAACAAATGGCTACAAATTAAATTTGCAGCATTATTTACTGATCATTAATCTTCTAATGATGCTTGCATAATCAGCATGTTATTATTTAGGTACATTACTAACATCTAGGGAGAAGGCAGTTAAGAGATTGACCAGAAAAGCAAAGCATGACTCTGCCCACAAAAAAGTTTTTTCTTGGTCCTACTGCAGTTAAAGCAGTGAAGCTTGGATACCACTCTGGGAAGAGAAAAAAATTTTCCTTGATTGAGAACAGTGAAGATTTAACTTTTTTTTTTTTGGTTGCTTTTTTTACTACCTGCAGAAGCTCTAGTGAGTTATTCAAGGCGATAAAACAAAGCTTTTTTTTTCTTTTCTTAAAAAACACACTTTTTGAAATGACCTATTGAAAAATTCAAATAGAACATTACCACAGTACATTACTTTGGCAAAAAAATTTTGCAACTAAGATCTTCACTTCCATTACAATTTTTCTGGACTTAATCCTATTCTCAATTCTTCCCAGAGGCAAAGAGAGAAAACAAGTGATATCTGTTGTTCCCACCTGAGAATATCACCCTTGTTGAGATTCAGCAAGACATTATAACCTCTGAACTCTGCTTCACTCTTGCAGTAAATCCCCTTGTTAGCCAGGTCCTGATACATCTCTTTCAAGCTCTGCAGGCATTTAGTCATGTTCTCATTGTTGATTTTGGCATCAAAGGCGGACATGGGCTCTTCACACAAGTGGTGAGCACAATGGATGTGAAAGCGAGTGCACTTCTCAATCAGAGACACCATCAGTGGGTTGCAGAGATGTTGCTGGGTTATATCCTAAACAGAATGATAAAGAAAGCATTGCATGTATTTTTAAACTACAGCTGAAGAGCACAGTCATCTGGCATTACCTTTGGAAAACTCATTTCAACTGTGCTTTGAGTCACTTTGCAATTCAAAACATTTGCATTACTATTGCTTTTTGCTTCACTTTTTACAGCATTATGTGGTCTTTTGCTTTCTATCAGCAGACACCTCCACTCACCACCGCTCACCTTTCTTATTCCACGAGTTCTGTTCCAGACAAAGTCATACCATTCTCGGTAGTTTCCTTCTCCTTGATCCATAATGTTTGTCACTAAATAGTCCATGGTCATGCTCAACACCTCAGAGGGTCTCAATTCATGGGGCAAAGGTTCCTCCTGATCTGCTGAAGACCTGCTATATTCCTTGATTGCTGCCGCATGATCTACCTGCAAGATGTGGAGAAAAGAATCAGAGTCCAAGGAGTATGTTCACCTTTTCAGGAATACAGAGGATTTCATCCCATCTATGCCTTTTCTTCATTAAGGAGCAGACTATTACAGGAGTTTCTCCACTGTTCACACTAACAGCCCACGTCCATTCTGCTACGATAGCAAATATATTTTATCTTCTTTTATGACAGGATCCTAAGTGTTGACTTAGTCTCAAACTCATAACCTTCAAGACAATGAATGCTGCCCTATAGTTTTAGAACTATAGTTCTAAAAGCCTGTCTGTAGCTAAATAAAAGACATGACTTAGAGTGAAAAAGCAATTCTCTAGTCTTCCTGTTTTACAACGGGGAATTGAAAGACATTAATGAAATGGCTTCCAGAACTTTTCCACCAGAATTAACCCTGTAATCAACTAAACAACACTGACAGCTTTATATAAGCAGCAAGCAAACAGATGTCCTGGGAACAACAAATCACTCCATACAGGAGGACTCATACCTTGTCAGATCCTAGAAACAATTCAAAGATACTGAGCTGGTTTCTCGTCTCCCTCATGTAGCGCTCCTTTTCAGGACACATGTCTGGGCAAGTGCCAACAACAGTTTTTGCTTTGCCAAGATCGGTCCTTTTTATTCGAGCTAAAAAAAAAAAAAAAAAAAAAAATTGAACAAACACTAAGCATCTCTCGTTTTTGTTTTCATGACAAGCTATTACCCTGATGTGCCAACACAGCCCTAAGCATGCCAGATGCCTCAGCTGGAGTCTGTACATTGGTCAATGGATGGATGTCAAGAAGTACATTGCTAGGGCAACAGTTCACAAAAAAAGCTGGTGGGAAAAGGTCTCTAGAGATTCCCATCCTGCCTCTACTCAGAGCAAGGCTGTACCCACACTTTGGCGTGGTCAGAAATGCACAAGGATGGGGTTCCCCCACTCTGGGGCCTGTCCCAGGGTTGCACCACTCCTTTGGGCAAGTTTCTCCTACCATCCCACCTGGAGATCAAGAGATTTGCTGAAAAGATTGAAGCCTCTAGAAGATACCCAATGTTTTGTTCCTAACTAAGCACCGGCAATTTCACAATTCCACGTCAAGTGGACGAGAGATCTGTTTGTCAGTATTAAAAATAAGATCTTAAATTAAAAGTAGGGTCAGCTTTGAAGTGGCAAGAACAGGATGGAAGGTTTTACAACCCAGCACTGTGAAACAAAGGGCCGTTTCTTGAAATAATTATCAGCTGTGTAGTAGCTTGAATTTAGAGAAGCACAGTTAGGCTTTGGGTAGCTTTCTTCAAAGAGCCTGCAGGGATGTAAATGTCCCTACATAGTCTCCTTCACAGAAGATGAACAGTCTACTATTCACTTTCCACAAGAAATATGCATGTGCAATAGATAAAACAGATTTTTGTGTGTTCTACAAGAAATTAATGTATATATGTACAATAAAAGAGTATTTTAGAGACTGCTCTGTGTTAAAGTCTCTTTTTAAAGCCATTTCCGTAATGTCAAAACAGCTTTGCAACAGACACCACTTACTTCTTTCCAGCAGAGAAGTAGATGTTACACTCATTAACTTGTGTAATTACCTTGTCGCATGATTTTGTCCCTTTGGTCCAAAAGACGGTATCTTTCTTCAGATGTCTCGGCCACTAATCCTACCAGGTTACCAAGAGATGACAATGAAGCTCCCAAGGCCTCTGAGCTCTGCCCTTCAGAACTAGCATCAAACAGATCTGCTACAAACTGCAGCGCCTTTCGAAGACCAGGCTTCTTTGCCGGAGAACTAAAAACGGAAGATTTTTTATCAATAACACACTAATGCGTGCCCCAGCCTTAATCAGTTCACTGTTCTTTAGGGCATCAATATCTCTGTTTATAAGAATATTCTGTTCACAAGGCAATATATCAAATAAACGAAGTACATATCAACATACTAAGGTTGTTATGAGCTAACACTAGCAGTGGGAGTTTATCTGTTTAAATCCTCAGCACTACCTTGACAACACTCCCAAGCATTCTTGATTGTGGTGAAAGCCTCAACCTTTGTACAACAGAAATGGTATTACTGAATTTGTCTTAGAGGGAACAGAACCAGGTGGCTGTAGCAGTATTTTTGCATCACTATGGCGCAGCAGTTTGCATTTTAAGCCAGGAACTAGCCTGCTGTTTGGTGTGAAAAAAAACAAATGCTTTTTATAGCAACAGAGATTACGAAAAGATTTTACAGGGCCCAGATACAAACATACTTTTTAAAATGAAGGAACATTCATTCCTTCACAACATATTACTAATTTTATAATTATATTACTACACATACCAAATTACTTTTGTCAAACTAAACACACCATTAAGGTACCACAGAAAGATGATAACCTTGCCACTTCAGCAACTCACACGAAACAGGAGGCTTCCTGTACAAAGACCATTCACTTGAAGTGAGATTAAGACGACAATCCAAACTCACCAGCTACTCTGAAAAGGGGATTCTCATTCCACAGAACTGTAATTGCCTACAAATGAAACTACTCACTTCAGAAGCTCATTTAATCATGACCACAGAACAGTGTCATGACTGCTTGGTCCTAGTTTGGCTCTGCACCGTTTCATTCAATTCCCTTATGCCTCACTATTTATTGCAGGTGTTGTTACTCACGTTGTTATGAACAAAACATTCAAAAGAAATACACAGACCAAATTAAAAGACCTTAATAATAAGCAGTTAGAAGTATCTTTCATAGAATCATAGAATCTCATTAAGGTTGGAAAAGACCTCTAAG